GCAGAAGAAGGTAGGGGAGGTAAGCGCGACGGAGAGGAGAGACAGGACTCAGGCGCGGGCAAGCCTACCGGGGGGGCAGCATCGGAGAGGCCGGGGGCGTGAGAAAGTCCAGAGCGGGCGTCGGGCCCACGGAAAGGGCGGAGGGGTTGGGCCCCCGAGGGGCAGGAACGGACGGAAGTAAGGTAGTTGACGAGCCGAGGAGGGGCGCCCCAAGTAGGGCCGGGGAAGGCAAGGAAAGCCTGCCCGGCACCGGACAGGCAAGGGGCGAGTCCTGCAGTAAGGTAGGCAACCGTAAGAGAGGGCCAGAGAAAAGGATGCGCAGAGAGAGGGGGCGCGCACCGGGTAGGCAGAAGACACAGTCGGATGAGGAGGATTCGCATAGACGAGGCGTAACAACGGCGAAGGAGGTCGCCGCTTCTGTGGAGAAGCAGAGGCTGGGTGGAGGCGAAGGTGAATGGCAAAGTAGCGACGAGCGAAGTTACCTGTGGCACGAGCCGAACTAGAGGCAACGCGGCGGAGTCTTGGGAACGAGGTAGAGAATATGAATGGTAGGTAAGAGAGTCGGCATGAGGCTGGAGGCTTACGTTTTCTGCTGTCGATGACTGCATTAGGTTATTTTCGTACTCTCTACTCGATTGCCGTGCGAGCGGCCCACCCGCCCTCCCACTAACAGCCAAATGGCTGATCGGAATTGTCTTTGAAGGGTTTGGGTACCGCGGGAGTGTGGTCGCAGACGCAATGGCCTTCCCCACAATAAGTTAGTAGTGAGTACGGATCACGCGATGACGTTTAAGCAACGCCACCGCAGGCAGAACAGCCGAAGTTACTTTCGCAAAAGCATGTCCACAAACTGTGTCAAAAATTTCCTGCAGAATATGTGCTTCTTCTAACCGGCAAAAACTCGACCCGCATACTACGGCAACACCCCTGGAGGCCAGCTAGCCAGCCAGCCCAGCACGATTACCACCACCGCAGGGAATGTCATTGAAATTGATGCATAGGCCGTGCACCCCATATGGCGATTTCCGTGGCGTCATCTCTCTTCCTTTTGCTTGAGTATTACAGTAATAGTAACCGCTTGGTGCGTAATGCTGCAGGGTATGAAGCCCAAAGCATTCATTCCACATTTCTCTTTCTGCTGAGCTCTAATACCTTTGCATTCCCATTGGAACCCATAAGCCCTCGATTATTTCTCAACAGTCCTTTCCCACCACCTCAAATGCCAGTACCCTGCGTACCCGTGACATCTGATCAATTGTAACGGAGGGTGCCCAGTGTCTGTGTGTGTCTGCACGCCTGTGTTGTTGATGTTGTTACAGGGTGGTTAAGCTTCACCAGTGGCCTCCTTCCCGAGGCAATTCCCTGCTCTCCCCTGCTAGAGGGGCACCCTAAGCCATTCACCCCATCCGACTTCAGAGTGTATTCGTTGGGTTCGGCAACTCACCACCAGCATCCAACCAAATCTCGCGGATCAACGGCGCGTCAACTTAGTTCCTGGTCAGCTCGCGAGTTGATGTTATTACGTCCTACACCGTCCACAAGATGGGGGGCCACCTCCCATTTCATCACCTCTCAAACACCCCGAGAGGTCGGCAGGCGGATTTGAACCCGGACGCGCCGGAACGCGACGGGAGCTATCTGTTGTTGTTGTTGTTGTTGTTGTTGTTACAAGGTCGTGGGTGCGTTCCCCGTACCTGCAAACCACCCTAGTACGAGCCGAGGGCTCAAGGCCTGCCAAATCGCCTATAAGCACCATCCTACCTCGCACTTCCAACGAAACAAGTGATGAAGGATACTAACGACCAAAGGGAACGATAGAGTTGCGGTGGGACCATATGCGTTCCAGCATCCTTGCCAGGCGTTCAGGTTCCCACTTCATAGCGTCCTTCATATGCTCGAAGCGTGGAAAGCCCATATCAGATCTGATTTTGTCGTACGCCGGACAGTCCAGCAAAATGTGTTTCTCATCCTCGATATGGCTATCAGTGCCGCAGCAAGGGCATACTCGCTCCTCCCACGCCTGTGTGTCTGTGTGTCAGTCTGTCTGTGTCTGACTTACAGAACCGCAATGGGCTCTCCGCAAGGTTGTCTTAATGTGTATTCAATGCTTCTTTCGGCATTCGCTAGTAGCTCATTTTGGCGCATGGTCCCTAACCATTTTGTCCCGAATCTCCTGAAGGCCACTCGGCCAGCTCTGCGGGCGACATGCTCTTCATTCTAAGGGTCCAGGGGAAGGAGGACGGAAAGCAGGTCCTAAGGAACAAAGTCCCCGTGGCCAGGCTACCAGATGCCCAGGTGGCCTGGTGGTGAATTGTACCTTGTATTTGCTAAACCATTTGCTGTGTGCTTGCGAAGAAGTTCATCTCTCCACGACGGACTTATTATGGGTCATGGCGCTAATGCGTAGGCACAGCTTCTTAAGTGTTACCTTTGGCGGGCGGACTGGGCTGTCAGTTTTGCTGGACAGACCTTTCCACCTCCTCCCCAAGGGCTGGTTACGGCTGGTATTTCACCCCCTTAACAGTACGATTGCGAGGCAAAGGCCTCCGTCTCCCTTCCGGTGGTGAGTTGGTAGTATTAAGTTATAGCCCTTTCCGGCTTCGGCCGATACGGCCTGCTGGGAAACAGGGAGACATGCAGGAGGATGAAGCACAGATGATGCTTTCGATCCACAGTATTGGGACTTTGTGCTAGCGTGAGCTCCCTGGCAAGCGTGAGGGGTTGGTGCTGAGGGAAAGATGGTGCTTGGTTGGGGGGCGCGGACGGCCTGTGGGTACGTGGGCGTGAGACACATGCACGTCCAAAAGGCAAAGTACATCGGTAAGACATACCTAAGTGTAAAGGGACATATTGACTCATGCCCATTCGTACGGGGCTATCTGCAAGCACATGCTGTGCACCTTCCTCCGCAAAGGCAGCATGACTGTTCTTGTATACCGCGATGCGATGCGGCGATATCGATACCTTTTCACGGAGCCATATAGAAAATTGATTGAGGCCGTTTTAGTATACGAAAGTAGTCGCGGTCATCTATAGCATCTATGAGCTCACTTAGGTCGTATGCGGATTCAGAGAATTGATTGCATAAGCTTAGCAAAAACAGAACAAT